TGAACTACAGATAAGTGTGTGGCTAAACAGGATGTAGCTCAGTCAAAAACGTCACTGAAGTTGCACAAAGTGCGAATAATAATCATTAGTGATTCTCCCAGGGTCTATAACATTCAGCAAGCCAGGAAATGTTGATTTAATTGTATTCCCTGGAGCACAGTGATGTAATCAGTGAGTACAGGCAGCACCCCTCCCAAGGTGCGGCCTGGGGTGTCATGTATGAAGGGCCCAAGGTTTCCCGTCGGCACAGGCTGTGCTCTAAGGTGTTTCTGGGTCGCTCGCTTCCTCACCGTCATCCTGACTTCCCCCACGCGCCAATGACGCAGCAGCTGCTACGGAAACGGGCCGGGAAAACAAGTTGACCAGGTCAGCTGTGGATTTTCCGCTAAATCTGTCACCTGGCAATACGCTGGCAACTCTTGTGCAGTCCCCAAACCAGGGGTACAAATCCATAAAAAGCCCCCCCCCCCCATTTTTGTGGCTGATTCTACTTCAAGATACCAATGACAGTGACAATGACAGGCATACAAAAAGGCCTTCTGGGAAATTGCTCCTTCCCCTTCTCTAGGAAAGTGCTGGAAATCATAAGATCTTTTCGAATCCTTCTTAAGGAGAAATTCCCTGGACTGCAGAGGCTTGAAGCATTTTAAACAGATTTCACTTAAAGAAAATTTCAAATTCCTGGACACAAACCCAGAAAACTGGCTCAATCCCACACTAATTCCAGTAAAATGAGAGAGTAACTTTTATGGCTTCTGTCTGAATATCAGCCTCATGGCAGCTTTTCAGTCTTAAACTCTTTTTGTTTCGAACTGAAGTGGAAATTGCAGGGATCGCTTTTAACGAGCGCAGGGGAAACCATGGACAAACAGGTCTAAATGGGTCCAAACCAGACAGCTCATCAATCCCGCCGGATTCCAAATCCCACCCTGGATCCAGAAAGTCCATTGGCTCTTGGGGTGGGGATAGTGCCACCCATTGGGGGGGGGGGGAACTCAACACAAACGTGACACTGAGTCAATATTCAACCACAGGGACCCAATTCACTGTGAACCAGCAGAGAAAACACCACAGGAGCTTGAAGGAGGCGTCACTTTCAGGTAAACAAGCGTGTGCAGGGTCTTCCCAGCCTTACCTGTATCGTCCCGAAGTCGACGTTCTCGTAGTGGAAGTGGGCGCATTCTGCTAGCTTGGGAAAGTGGCCCTTCGTGAAAGACAGCCTGGAAAACCAGAACGAGGGGTTGGGGGGCGGGGATGGGGGTCAGCGATCGGCGATAAACGCAGATGAACCCCATGTGGAGAAGAGCACCTACTTCTTGACGTTCTTGACCTTCATGCTGGCAGTGCTGCTGCAGGCCCTCAGGAGCGGTTCCGTGCTCAGCTCCGGGATCTCGGCGCTCCGCGCCTGCCCAGACAGACGGTGCCGATCAAACCCACATCCCCTCGACAAGCTATACACTCAGGCCTCCCTCCCGTAATGCCCGACCCGGGTGGCCTTCCGCACTTCCTCTCCTTCCTTCCTCCCCCCCCCACGAACGCCAGGCACACGTGGGAGGGGCGTGTCGTTAAAAGGCAGCAGAAGGACAAGTGTCACCTCCATCTCATTTTCAGCCACGTCGCAAGCTGCTTCAATGATGCTTTTACTCAAACTGATTTACACTCAAATACACTGCTGGCTACTGGGACTGAAGACATTCAGGGTCGACACTGACTGAGGTTACAACAGCAATGATAACCGAATGGTTACAAGTTTATCGCTTTAACCACCAAGTTACCTGCTTATAAATTACCCAACCAGAACAAAAAAAATGAAGTCGAGAGAACAAAATTAACCAGCTGGGATTCTGTAACTGGCCATTTTCTCTTCTTCAGACCTTTTGCTGATCTGTGTTAGGATCTTAGATCCAGCCTAAGAGACATACTCAACTGCACAAGGCATCAGCTCCTTTGACTCCAAGGGTGACATAGGGTAACTTTTTGAGCAATGTTGGGCCATTGACATTGGGCAACACATTTCTATTTGAAATACTGAAATATTATTTTTGTGATCATTCAGATCCAGATGTGATGTCTCACTTGGTCGGCAGCTGCCCGGCAACATTTCTCATAAAGTTGTCGTGTGCATCATCACCTTAAGAGACTTTAAAAGGGGGGGGGGATTCTACCCCCAGTTGAAGCTGTCTCTCCAAAAGCCTGAACAGTGAAGGAAGCTCTTCTTAGGAAGAGAAATGCATTTAACGGAAAACCATTCAAATACGTCCTCTGAGATACGACAGTTTACTTTAATAAATGAGAACAAATGTTCATCTGGCACGACTCTCAGGAGCACAGTGACACAATGGCTGTACTGATGTTCTTGTTTTCTAACGCAAACAATCTTTTTGGCAAAAGCATCACGAAACACCACAGCTGAAGAGTGAATATGTTACATGCTCCACAAACAAGGCACGAATGTACGAAAATGGGGAGAAATACCACATTATATATTCAAATACTTATCTGTGTAACACTATTGAAGCGCATATCATTCGGTTTATAGCTGAGCTTTCTATCAAAGGGCAAAATTTATTTACACAATTAAGCTCTACTGGTTCAGAGTGATAAAGTTCTGCCATGCCCATTGGGAGTTCCCCAAGAATGCCAGCAGGTCTCAACAAAGAGGAGGAAGACCTGTCCTACGAAAGACTGCAGGGAGAACCGCCTGGTCCAGAAGAAATCCAGGTCTATGTCGCAATCATAACTCATGTTGTAATCAATCCAATGGAGTTGACCTCAAAGTGTTGCTTTGAAACAGACACAAAACCTGCAGGACCACAACGACCGACCCCGTCTTTGTAGCCAAGACTACAGAGCTCACTGAAGCAACTCAGAACTCTAGTTTTCAGGTGAAGATACTAGGGGCAGCTGAGGCGACAACCTGCTGCTGTCGCAGGTCGGCCTCCGCGACCGCATGACCGCGCGAGAGCCCGAAAACTCACTGATGCAACAGACTGCAATCCACAGAAGTGACTTAGGAATCCCTTGCTTTTTTTGGATCAGTGCAAACTGATCAGACAACAGTGCAAACTGCTTGTACGTTACGGTGGTGGTCATTACGAGGTGCGCATTATGTGAAGCCAAACAATAGGGGGATAATCTTCAATAACGTTGGTGCGATCCGTGTATTCTCATTCCCCAAATAAAATGGGGGGGGGAGATATGAGAAGTGGGAAGTTGCCATGGAGACCGATTCTTCTCAGTTATGTTTCAAGATTGATTGTAGCAAGGCTCATTTATAACATAATCACGACAAGGTGCGAATATTGATGTGGGATTGAACACTCAGGGAAGTTATGTAACCACCTAGGACATCACCTCAGGTCAGCCATGTGGCTCAGGTCAATGTGAGACGTGTGCCCATGCGAGACAGGACTAGCCTACCATGGCGCTGATGGTCTCCTCCCAGTCCGGCCTCTCTCGAGGGTGGATGCTCCTGGTTAGTTCTGGCACGATGTCATCCTCCTGTGAGTGACGGAAGAGTCTCAGACCCCTGGGATGGGAAAAGGGTGAGGAAGTAGGTCAGAGGTTGACAGAAATGCGGAACTTCCTCCCCGGATCAGCAGCCGGAGTGTGTGTCCTCGAAGTAACTCCTGCTAAACCAAATCAACGGAACAGGTGGGTGGACGAGAGAGAGAGAGAGACACTGACCACAAAATGAAAGTGAAAGCATTGAACACTCCAGTAAGAAGAGAATGGACTTGTAAGCAAAGGTCACGAAGAAACCAGAATTGTCCATTTGCATCTGGATGCGTAAACATCTTGAGCAAACTTGCTTGTCAGGATCCATGATGAACACAGATGCAGAATTGTTATGTTAAAAAATAAGTTGAAACAGGCAAAAAAAAAAAAAAAAAACATTACTCAGCTTCATGCAGACGTCCAGCTATCAAAATCATAAGCAGCTGTGGAGCTTAGATAAAAGAGCAGCGGAAAACAGGAATTCAGGCAAATGCAGGTGACGAGCTGCCATTTTTGAAAACTGTGACCTCCATGCTGGTTTCATTCTGAAAGCTCAGGTATAATTAGAGCATTAGCAGAGATGAAACACTGTT